AATGTTAAGAAACAAACACACACAAATTACTCAAAATAAGTTTTAAAAATCAATGATGAGTTTATCATGTTATACCAATACATTATATATACATGTGTATATATAAAATAATCAAAGGTCAATGTATCCATTAATTAATTGGTTTATATGTATTAGTTAAGTCGAATCATGGTTTCTCCCACGCTTTCTTAAAAAAAATAAATAAACAAAAAAATAAAAATATAAATATAAAAGTAATGCTTAAAAATAAGATAAATAAATAAAACATAATAAATGCAAAAGTTATAAATACCTCAGTTCGAAAGTAATAGCTAACCTCTGTTTTATATTAATTATAATGTATACTTATAATATAAATAAATTTTAATATAAATAAATATGATGTAAAATTATAATATATTTTATATAAAACGCAAATATAAATAAAAAAAATTATATTTCGATTGTAAAATCTCATGAATTTATCTATTTTCATATACCTTATCTATCACATATACCTTATTGAGCCACTCTCAATGCGTCCAGGGTATTGCCGTGTACATGTGCTTTCAGCATTTTAAGCTGCCTGACTGTGATGCTCTGGGCGCAACGCCAATAAGAAACCGCAACTAATGATGACTGCCTGGCCAGGGACAAAAGCCTGGACAGAGACAGCCACTAAGCTCTCCCGGAGGCGTGGCACCGCCCAGGGCAGACTGAAATTTAAAGGCTGATTCAGTTCAGCTGGCTCAATATTCATCTAGACGCCGTGCACGCATTTGCCTGTCAGCGCACGTCATGAACATCAATTTTTGGGATTGATAAGATGTTGGGCGATATTTTTGAATAACGAGCGGAGCAGGAGGCAACAAGCAAAGGGTGGAGCGGCCAGTGCATGAGTGGATGGGGCCTACAAACAGTTCGCCTAAAATATGTCAATCGGAATGTAAATCATTGCGTAATTTGCATTTTGAGCATTTGCTTCAATTGAATGATGACGACTTTGTTGTTGTTGTTGTTGTTGTTTCTGTTTCTGTTGCTGGCAACACGTGAATTATGGCGGCAATTTTGACAATTGCCAAGCTCCGGGCCACGCCTACCACCCAACAGCACCGTATCCGGTACGTGCATGTGTGTGTGTGTCTGTGTATGCTTGTGTGTGTGTGTGTGTCTGCATTGTATAACTTGCGCTCTCTTCACGTGCACATAAATCGTACTCGTTGTTATCCAACATAATTGTGTTGACATGTGGATGCTAATTTAAATGGATTTCACTACAATTGCAATGCTTTGCCATTCTGTTAAGTACGCACTCGCTCAATGCTATCGAGAGATACGATTTGTTTAAACCTCTTCACACATTAAGTCATTAAATCAGTGTGAAAAGAAAGTTTTAATACTGCATGCAAAAACAGCCTAATAGATATACATAGAACAATATAAACTAAGAATGATCTAGTTTATGATAGAAGCGAACTAGCTGCTAGGGATGCCAATTTGGCGTTTTCCTCCGTTAGTTACCATTTGGCTATTTTTTTTTTTTGTAAATTATAAATTTACTGTGACCAAACTTTTCACTAGATTATTCTATACACAATTACAGTTATTTCATGACATTACTTGCTAAGTAAGATAGCTAGCTTGTTGAGGCTCTGAAGAAATGGCAACACTACCAGCTCCTAACGCCACAGCAAATTTGAACTAAGCCCGTTCCACTCAAGCTAACGTGTTTTTGCTAAACTTGCTCTTTGGCATGACTAAATCTATATCTGAACCCATATAACCTGTACGACGTCAAGCTATCGAGATGATCTTGTCTAAAAATTCGCAATATTCCTTTTTGGATAGATATTTAACGATGAGATTTCTTGAATATATAATTTAACTTTGAAATGATCTCTAAACGAAAGCATAGAACTTCGGAATACCAAATTGGATTTCTAAAATAATATTATAATATTTTAAAATAATGTTCTATTTTTTTCTTTTTTTTTTTCAGGAATAGGCAAACAGATGTAATTACTATGATTTAATGCTCTTCATATTTCAAATGAGATTTTGTCGAGTCAAACCCTTAGTTAATCATGGCTATTACGTAAACTTCATCAAATCATGTAAGCCTACGTAGATTAGCAAAAATACTAAGTTTATTTTCTTACTTTAGAGTTTTTATTTACCGACTTTGTTCAAGTCTATCACCTCAGATTCTATAGTATCCTAGTAACTCAGCCTATAAACCATTGCATGGATACATATTAAATCGAGACTTATTTATTTCTTATTCTATTTTCCTCTAAGCTCATCAGACTTACACGCGGGCTACGTCAAGCTTATGTATGTACGTCTGTTGTTTTGTTTGTTTGAAAGTCAGATTAGATACAAGCTGATTGGGATGCGTTGCCAATCTGTCTGTGTGTATGACTTCTGTGACCATAGGACAATTCCACAAATGAAAAAGTGAGGATAATTATAATCTTGTAAATGGTAGCTTTGGTGTTGAAAACAAATGAACAAAAAAAAAAGGTAAGAAAACTTTAAAATAGATTTGCAATTATTTACAAATCCAATTTGGACACGTTCGATAAGCAAAGAAGCATTAGATTTGCAAAAGGAATTTGTTGCGAAAATTATGTTATGATTTATTTTATTTGATTTTATTTATGCAACATCGTGGCTCATCTGTGTCTCAGTCCAATATGCATATGGACATATGGTCGTATGTATGTATCTGTGTGTGTCTATGCACAGTATGTAAATAAGTTTTTGTGCGTGTGTGTGTGTGTGTGTGTGTGAGCTTAACACAACTTTTCGCACGTACATGCTGAGCAGATGTGCATACGCCAAAAAGTATGCAACAGCAAAACGTGATTTCGTTTTAAAATTTCAACGCTTTGCCGCTGTCAAAGGAGAATTTATTTGCGGAACGCATTCATTTGGAAATTATCGAGCAGGAAATTATTGGCCCCTGCAGCGCTCCTGTACCCCTGTTGAGCTCCCCTCCCTTTGCTCAATGCAACTATATGTATTTGTCGCGGCGAGACGTGAGCGTAAAATTTCCACAATAGCAATTTCTTAGCGTTTCCCTCATTTCACTGCCAACAGTACAAAAGAAAATAGAAAAACTATTAATGGCTGCTCAGGGTGGAGAAGCCAATAGGTCAAAGGTTCACTCAAATCGTGCAAATTGCAGGAGCGTTAAGGGTCATTGCGAATCCTTAAACGAATTGCATATGACCTGTTGTGCCCTTTACAATGAAAGAGCTTTGCATATTGATTTAACCATGGAAAACCTTGCAATCGGGCGTATTCAACTCAATAATACTCGTTCTACAACCAAAAACCATGTCAGACAATCGACGTTTTCAAATAACTCTCTCTGATAAGCGCCACAAAAATAAGTATTTCCTTCTAAAGAAATGTTATGAAAATATAAAATGGTTAACATAGGACAAGAAATTTCCAATAGAGACAGTGTAATTAGGTAATCCTAATTTAGTTTTTTTTTTGTTCGCCTATATATCTATTCATATGTATGTCTGCAGGTCTGCCTCTCTGTCTCTCTCCCTGTCTATATCGCCTCTCTCCCTAACCAAAAAGAACAACTACAGAAATCATTTAAGTTGTCAACATATATACAGCAATATTCATTTGGTATTTATATTTAAGTACAACGAAGCCAGAGCAGAGAGTGCTCCCATTGGTCAGTTAAAGCGCCGGGCTCAACATTTGAGCACGAATTTGACAGCAGTTGGTGGGGATCGTGTAGTGTGGTAAAGTTAAGTGAAGTGTAGATCGTTCAACTAAGCATTAAAGATGGAAGAAATATCTGAAGAAAATACTTAAAGGAAATACTTAGAGTGAATACTAAACGGAAACTTGGAGGAAATATTTAAAAGAAAAATTTGGATGAAATACTTAGAGGAAGTACAATATTTAGAGTAATTACTAGGAGTGAATACTAAGGGGAAATACTTGGAGTAAATATATTTTTTTTTCCAATTGTTATTATTTAGTTTTCGAATTTTTATTTAGCATCAGGCTGCATTCTTATATTCCACTATTAGAAACTTCATATAAACTATAAACAGATGTAGAGATTCGAACATATGCTTAACAATAAAAATAAACAAGTAAGAAGGCTCTAGTCGAGACTGCTCGACTAGGAGATACCCTGAACCCTCTAAGCTGATATTCTAATCATTCTGCACTTTTATGCACACATACATACACATGCATCCACACGCTTACATAAGCCTGCGCTCTGCTAACTGCGCAGTAAGCAGCGACTGCGCTTGGGCTGCGCTGCAGTGTGGGCAATATTATGAGAATTTATTTGTTGAATAATTTCTTTTGTAGACGTAAGATCTAACTTTCAAAACGTAATTATATGGTAAATATGTGTGTACATTCCAAAGCCCAAGTCTCTAGTACTTGAAATGCGTTTTTTACAAATTGGGGGCGAAGGGGGCGTGGTATCCAAAATCTGTAAATTACAAAATCTTTATATCCATTAACTTTATATACAACGCAAATTTGAAGACTCCAGGTCTAAAAATGTTCAAATTAGGCTGAAAAAACAAAATCAATTTTTCGATTATTCTCGATAAAAAAGTTATCGAACGATTTATCGAAAAATAAAGCAAACTCGTACTGCGTATGGTACACACGAGTATGCATGCCAAATTTCAGCTCTCTAGCTCTTATAACTTCTGAGATCGACGCACTCATACGGACGGACAGACGGACAGGGCTATATCGACTCAGCTCGTCGCGCTGATCAAGAATATATATACTTTGTGGGGTCTGCCACGCCTCCTTCTGCCCGTTACATACTTTTTCACAAAACCATTATACCCTGATTTCCCATTTTCAATGGGTTCAGGGTATAAAAATATATTCACTATGTTGAAACGAAATACGTATATTAATTGAGCATAGAGCAGTCAAGACTAAACCAACTGTGCGATAAATGCATGAATAAAAATATATACATATATGAACCACTCAGTACTGATAAGGAATTCAAAGAGACACTTAATATATTTTTTAAAAAGCCAATGAAAAAATCGTCTATCTCTCTTATTAAAAACAATATATATACAAAATTTTGTTTAATAATGAATCATCAAATAAGAGATCATTCCCCATTTCAGTTCATGTCACGGGTCTTATCATCATTTGCACGCTTTTAAGCGATGCAGTATGACCCGAAAATAACAACCAATTGATACCCTTTCCATGAGTGGTATCATTATATTTTCCCATTAGATTGCTATGAACGAAAATATATAAAAATATATATATATATATGAACTCCATTTTCAGATAGCAAATACAAACCTTGAGTGACATTTGCTGTACCACCATCCGCCAGTGTAAATTTCTGCACAGTTTTTCTCATACTTATCGTTATCCCGATCGCGTGCTGAAAAGTACTGGCCAAGATGTCCAGTCAAGGAGTCCCCAGCATCTCCAGAGTATTCGCCCAGCTCTTGCAAGGCATATAAGTTATCCTCATTGCCGACGACGAATAGATTGTACTTTGCATATTTCTGTTTGCGTTGAAAGTCTTCCATGACGATAAGCAGTTCCTGGTCCATCTCCTTGGTCAGAAGATGCAGCTTTTCCAGGCCTATAAAGAACTCACCATTGACATTGCCAAAGCCGTTCTTATAGTCTTTCCAATAGCGAAAGAAATTAACGCTTCCATCCTCACGGTTCAGGATGACGGTCCAACCGCCATTTTGTGTATGCTCATCACATCTGACTAGGAACGGATGGATACTGTAGTCCGGAATAACAATCTGATAAACTCCACTAGAACGACTCACTGCCGTTGCTTTGGCACAGTCATTTGGAAACTGGGAAGGCAGCCAGTTGTCTGCTATAAATTTATCAAGTTTCGATGTAAGTTCGGCAAATAGGCTTCTCTGCTCTAGTCTGAAAAACGTATACAAATATTCACATAAATACATATGTATATACATGCTTATTAAGCTAGATTGCAACAAAATCAATTTGAGATATTCTTACTTCAGCGCTTCGAGCTGCGCTTGCAGCGTCATTCCATTTGAATCTTTAATTGCAAAATGTATTTCTGTTTGATTACCATATTTAATTGATAAATTTCCAATTTTCGCAAAAGCATCTTCGCACGTGGCAATTGATATGTAAGTAAATAAAAATATTATGCAAATATTTATTGGCTGCATACTTGCAGCTAGTTCTCAATGATGATTTCTACACAACTGAAATATTTGAGCATTTCGAGTGCTTTATAGCAGATCCCAACGCTTATCAGCATGAATAGTAATCAGCTTAAAAAGTTCCCATTGCTCTTAAAAATATTGTTAGAGAGATGTACTTTTTCTCTTGCCTTTCAATGCACAAGCCGCAATCAAAACAAGCAGATTAGGATTTTATGATCGTGTTTACACTTGTCGATCTATTTTACAGGTAGCGCAGCTACCTCAGCCATCCTGCCTGCCTCATCTCCCGAAGCCTGCAGCAAGTTTACTACCTGTACTTTGTATAAAAGGTCTAAATCTAGCCTTCTTAACGTTAGTCGCTTTGTGGAATCCGAACTATAAACATATCGCATACAATGGAAAGTCCACTAGCATTTATGCAGCTAGAAACAAGCTACGTTATACTGTTCATACTCGGGCTTACCATAATTGAGTATATTTTCAGTTGTTGGCCAGTTGAGGATAATGGATTGAATATTCACACGCCAATTGCTGTTGCCATTGCCTCTTATAACACAAAGTACTATTCGATTGAAAGATTATCCAGCTGGACCGATGCAGAACACGATGTGAGCTATGGACAAATAGCTCGGACGCCTATTCACCACATACGTGGACTGAAGTATCTGAACTTGGAGCAACGAGCTAAGCTTATGTCAGGTGTCCGACGTCGGCTTGATAAACAGTTCTAAAATAAATATCTAATTTTAATGCTTTAATATTATATGTTTTTATATTTTCTAATAAAATTAATTTTAAATGCAAATGTTTAATTTTTTATCATTTTAGCCTAACTGTTTTTTATAGCATTTAATCAGTAAGCATACAACTGTTAATGCTAGTGATTATTCGCCGTTAAGAATGTTGAATAATTCAAACTAGAGCACGAAATTTACAGATATATCGATATTCACGGCACGAACCGATTAGCATGTTAACTTTAACATTTCTGTTATGGTAACAGCCTGTTGCAGATGAAAATGTGACAAGTACGCAGAATACCCGTGTGTAAATATTTTTCAAATTTAAATACACAAATATATGTCTTATATTATAAATAATACGTATTCTATTATCGATGCAGAAAGCTCTACGACATTTGACAGTGAAGAATATACGATTCATGGCCAGCTTCGCACAAGTCATCAACCCAATGACTGGACAAAACACATGGCAAGAGCGCGGCGATGACTATGATTATCATCAGGAGGTGGCAAATGCCGGCTTTGGTGATATGCTGCACGACTGGGAGCGCAACCAGAAGTACGATGCGGCTATACGGAAAACAATCGCAGGGATGCGTCAGGCTGGTAAACAAGTTCATGTGCTGGACATTGGCACGGGAACTGGAATTCTGGCCATGATGGCGCTCCGTGCTGGTGCCGATACAGTGACAGCCTGTGAGGCATTCGTGCCTATGGCCAACTGTGCAGCACGTATTCTGGCAGCCAATGATGCCGCTCATGTGCGGCTCATACGGAAACGGTCCACAGACATAGTCATGGGCGTCGATATGCCGCACAGAGCTAATTTGCTGGTAGCCGAGCTGCTGGACACGGAACTAATTGGCGAAGGTGCCATTGGAATTTACAATCATGCACACGAGGAGCTCTTAACTGACGATGCGCTGTGTATACCCGCGCGGGCGACGTGCTATGCTCAGGTAGCGCAATCGCCACTGGCGTCACAATGGAACAGCCTAAAGATTCTGCCTGATCTGGATGGCGACATATTGCTGCGACCGCCCACACAGTTGCTGCAATGCAGCGGCGAGGCAGCGCTCCACGATGTGCAGCTCTCCCAACTGCCGCCGCACTCATTTCACGTGCTCTCCGAACCCACGCAGATCTTCCACTTTGACTTCCAGCGCAAGCAGCCGCTCGAGCTAATGCGAGAGAATGTCGTTCGTGTTCAGCTCAGCAGGCCGGGTAGCGTTGAATTGGTTTTCTATTGGTGGCAAATTGAGCTGGATGATGCCGGCGAGCAACTTCTGAGCTGTGCGCCCTATTGGGCTCATCCGGAACTGGAGCAATTGAAGGCAACCTGCAAAGACAAACAGCGACCGCTTGCAAACATTGTGCCTTGGCGGGATCACTGGATGCAGGCCATCTACTACATACCTAAGGCGCTTCATCTGCATGACGCTGGCGAAGAGTTCTGGCTGCGATGCTACCATGATGAGTATTCGCTCTGGTTTGACGCACACTAAAGAGCAGCCCGAGAAGCCAGCTAGAAGACACAGTTGCACCTGTGACTTGCACATGACCTACACCCGCAATCGCATCGGCCAGCTGAACCAAAGCATAAGGAACAAGCGCTACCTCGCCTACCTGGAGCAGGCAGTGCAATCGAAATCCGCCCACGTGCTGGTAATGGGCGATGGCTGCCTGCTCGGACTTGCCAGCGCTGCCTTGGGTGCCGCCAGCGTGTACTGCCTGGAACCGCACCGCTTCTCGCGCCGTCTGCTCGAGTCAGTGGTCAAACACAATCAGTTGAAAAACGTGAAGTTCTTGGATAGCCTAAAGCAGTTGGAGCCCAATGAGCTAGATACTATTACACACATATTTGCTGAGCCGTATTTCTTAAACTCGATTCTGCCATGGGATAACTTTTATTTTGGAACATTGTTGCTGCAGCTGGAGCAGCTGCATCAGAAGCTACCTGCCAATGTAGAGATATCGCCGTGTGCAGCTCGCATTTTCGCGCTGCCTGTAGAGTTTCTGGATCTGCATAAGATACGTGCGCCCATTGTTAGCTGCGAAGGCTTCGACCTGAGGCTCTTCGACGACATGGTGCAGGTAAGAAAGATAAGGAATCGGTCATGGCAGTTCTTTAACGCTTTCCAAATTTATTTTAGCGCTCTGCGGAACAAGCCTTGTCCCAGGTCGAGGCGCAACCTCTATGGGAATATCCATGCCGTGCTCTGGCACAGCCGCAGCAATTGCTCAGCGTTGATTTCGCCAACTTTGGTGTGGAGCAGAGCAACCACGGCAGCATAAAACTGACAGCGTGGGTATCTAATATAATCATATAAGTCGCCCATACACTAATCGTAATTATACTCTCTGCAGCGAGGGCAACTGCAATGGTATTGCGCTGTGGGTGGACTGGCAGCTGTCGCCCAATGAGAACCCCAAGTCGATCGTAAGCAGCGGACCCCTGGAGCCCGTTGAAACCGGCCAGTACGTCAAGTGGGATATGTTTGTGCGTCAGGGCGTGCACTTCATCAACCAAACAACGGCAGAGAAAAAATACCTGAATTGGAGCACCCAGTTCAGGCCCTTGCTAGGCGAGCTAAATTTCAACTTTTCGCTAAATGCGAATCGGGAAAAAAGTGAATAAAAACAAACATAAATTTAGTACAGGAATTTAGACACGAGTTATGGTAATACACATCATTAATAGTTCTTAAGCCAGTGGTATCTCGTCCTCCATGCGGGTAAGTACAATATTGCGATTCATCTGATCATTGGGATTCTTCAATTTGATGCCATACTCCCCGCCCCTGAGGCGGGTGCGTAAGTCTAAGGCACGAATGTCAGTCATCAGCGCATGTTGTTTGTTTTCTAGATCCACGTCGATGGCTTGCGCGTGATCCGATAGCGCATTGAAGTTAGCCCTAGCATCATCGATCTTCTGTTTGAGAACACGGCGTATTTCACGCAGTTTCTCCACCTCCTGGCAGAGCAGGTCGTGGGCATGATCCATGCACAGCTCCATGCCGCTACGTTGAGCACGATTTTCCAGGCGCGTCTCTGCCAACTTAAGCGAATCTGACTTATCGTTCAAAGCATCCTCCAGCGTCTTTATCTCGCATACAGTACTGTCCATTTCATCCTTCATCTTCAGCTTCTGCCACTCCAGCTCGTTGCGAGCCCGCTGAGTCTCGAAAATACGCTTCCTAATCGTGTGCTCTGCACGATCCTCCTGCGCGTGCAACATGTTGCGAGCTTTCTCGCGACAAGCAAAGAGCGCCTCCCGTATAGAAGATGTATCAGCTAGTTCATCCTCGGCCAACTGCTTCATGTGCTTCACATGACTCAGCCAAGCATCATATGAACAGGAGCTGTCCATTATATACGAGCAGTTAATGCTTAGATTAAATTCAATTCTATTAATATTCATACCTTTGGGGATTACGCAAGGGATCTGGTTTATAGGATAAGCTAGAAGAATAACGATCTAGCGCCAGTTGCAAAAAGTCCAGCTCCACCGCCTCAACCTTGTTCTCAATCTCCATGCCAATCTTGTAGCGAATGTCCTCCAGGCGTGACAGCTTCTCCCATGCCTTTTGGCATCGATCGGCCAACAATCGCTGATTGTTCTCCAATACCATCAGTTCGTTCTTGACCTCGTTGTCCGGCTCGTCGTACGTCATCTCCGAGCCCAAGCGACTGTCACGCATAGTGAGCACCTCACTTATGACCGAAATGGGGCCAGTCAACGCGTCCAGCTCACGCTCCGTCAATATTTTCTCGTCCTGCAGTAATTTAATCTCGAGCTCGATGCGATCAAACGTCTTGGATATGATGTCGCGCCAGCTATTCAGCTGGTCAATGCTGTGGAATTATTCAAAAGTTACGAGAAAACTACCTATAGAATACCCCACTCCCAGCTCACCGATCCCTCAGAGCCTCGTTCGTTTCATAGTTCGCCCACTCGCTCTCAATACGAGTCTCGTTGCGCAGCGATCGAGCCGAATGCCTCAAAGCGAATGCATCAGCACGTCGAGCATCTGCCACGGTTCGAAGACGACCCACGCGTGCATTCCAGTCAGCCAGCGAAAGATGCGGCACTGGTTTCTCCAAAGTCGTCACCGATTGAAAAGCCATCTTAAGTACACTGTATGTATTCCTTTCGAAATTTATATATATATATCTATACTATAGTTTTTATTGAAACGAAATCCGTGTTCACAACTATAACTCACAACTGAAACTAATGGAATTTCTGTACTTCACAGCTAAAGAATTTTGTTTATGTCATGGCTACTAGATCACCAAGGTATCAAATGTTCAAGCTAGCTGCTAGGCAATCATTAGAATTGATGTAATATTTAAACAAGTAGGAAATGCCCCGTTGGGCGCTACCGACTGCACAATGCTCACTACAGTCCAAAATCAGTCGATTCTTTATTGGTAAAGGAGCAAAGAATTTGCAGTTATTTAAATGTCTCCGATTTGAAAGCTTTCACCTAAAGCATTATATATAATTTGTACCGGTTTCCCACTTTTCCATTTGACGTAGATATATCCAGTATATAGTTTTCATATTTGTGGCAAAATGGTTTGAAGATATTGCCCAAACAAATACACTCCTTTCACTTCGTGAATGAGTATAAACAGTTGTTATTAATTAAATTTATCGGAACTTTAGTTATACAGGGGTTACCATGAGGATTTTTGATCCATCGGTGTGTTACCAAGCAATATGACATTCTAGTTGGGGCTGTGTAGTATTTATTGAGTAGAAATTAGTCAAAGCATTACAAAAGTACAAGAGTTTTATGAGAGCATTCAAGGAACGTCCTTAATGTTGAATTTTCCAATTGTAAATCCCTTTGACAATGATTGTTCTTGATTGGTATAAAAGATAATTTATAATGATCCTAGCTGTCTAAACATATTCGGCTTGTTGGTCCTGTCTCTCAGAGTATTGTCAATGCCCACATTTACGTCTTGGGAATAATGTCCTGGGTATTTGTGATTTGAATATTATAATCAGTTTGAGCACACGGATTAATCACGTCCGTTCCCTTTTGCCTGTCCTTGAATGCCTGCCTTATGGCAAGCGTCCGCTTGTCGGTCATTAGCGCGTGATCTTTCTTTTCTAGATCCACAGTAATTTTTTGGGTATGTTGGCCTAGGAGATTGAAGTTCGCTCTAGTCTCATCCATTTTTTCCTGAAGACAACGACGGATCTCGAGTTGTTTCTCCACCTCTACACAAAGCACGTCATAGGGCGTATCCAGGCAGAGCTCTGCATTGCGCCGCTGTGCACGATTCTCGAGGCGGGTCTCGGCCAGCTTTAAGCTGTTTGTCTTTTCCTGCAGCGAATTTTCCAACTCCTCAATATCCTTTAGCGCAGCCTGCATGCCGTCTTTCATCTTGGTCAGCTGAAAGTCCAGCTCGTTACGTGCCTGCTGAGTCTCGAATATGCGTTTCCGGATGATGAACTCAGTGCGCTCCTGTTGGGCTTGCAGTAGAGTAATTGCCTTCTGACGGCAAACGAATAGCGATTCCCGCATTGCAGTTGTGTCTGCCAGCTCGTTCTCGGCCATGCGCTTAATGCTCTTGGTATGATCCAACCAGCTCTGGTAAGAGTAAAAGCTGAAAAGAAGAAGTAGGGAATTAGGTTTGAACCTGAATAATTTGAAATACTGCTCACTTTTTGGGCAAACGCCTCGGATCCGGCTTATGGGATATATAAGTTGAATTCGAATCTAGCTCTCGCTGCGCCTTATCCAAGAGGGCTGCCTCTGTTTTATCTTCAAGCTCAATGTTTATCTTGGTGCGTACATCGGCAAGCACGTTCATCTTCTCCCAAGCCGTCTTACAACATTTTGCCAACAATTCCTGATTGTTCTCCATGATGATCAGCTCGTTTTTTATCTCCGTATCCGGCTCATCGTACGTCATCTCGGAGCCGAGTCGACTATCTCGGCTGGAGATCATGTCGCTGATCACAGCGATGGGCTCAGCGAGCGCATCCAATTCGCGCTCGGTCAAAGTCTTCTCCATCTGCAATAGCTTGATCTCGTTATCGATCCTTTCGGCCGACCTCGAAATGATTGCATACCAGTTATCCAGTTCGGCAATGCTGAAAATATTTATAAGGAAATCTTAAAGTCTCGCCAGATTCGCAACATCTCGTTCCACTTACCGCTCAGCCATTGCTTGGTTCGAGTCATGGGTCGCCCATTTCTGCTCGATCTGCGTCTCGTTTTGCAATATGCGAGACGTTCTGCGTATGACCGCGGTATCTGCTAGTCGAGCATTGGCCACTCTGCTGAGACAGCCGACGCGGTACTTCCAGTCGGCCAGCGAGATGTGCGCCAGGGGCTTTTCCATGGTGACCACCGATTTGAACGACATCTTGGCGTATGTAATGTGTATCTGTGTTTAACAATTTGTATATCTATTCTTATAATGTAATGTAGATAGTTTGTGTATGATAGTGTGTATTTTCGTATATGTTTTATATATTTTCTTATGTTTGGGTTTGATTTTGTTAGTGTTCTTTATGATGTCCGCGACGGGAATGAATATATTATATTTTTAAGCTACGCCTTGTACGAGTTCTATTTTGTTTATGCTGTGGCTACTAGATCAGTTAGGCTTAGCTTGTCGACTATTGTTAATGGCAACGATAGCATATAGAACAGTTGCTAGGCGTTAAAAGCGAAGCATATTCTCTATACAATATATTGGCGACTCGGAGGACCTAAATGGAAACGAGCATATATTTATTTATGCCGGTATTTTATTGATAAGTAGAATAAATGGAAAACACTTAGTGAGCTGCTCAGTTCTTTTCTGTAATGTCCTCTGCGTGTGTCAGTTCAATGTTTAAATCTGTTTGGGCAAATGGATTGTGCTCGGGAATGCCACCATCCTTTACCTTGAAGGCTCTGCACACCTCGAGTGCCTTTGTGTCAATCATAATACTGTGCTCCTTTTTACCGATATCAAGGTCGATCTTATTTGTATGATCTGATATCAGATTCAAATTGGCTTTTGATTCATCGAGCTTTCTCATAAGACAACGCCGGATCTCCCTTAATTTTTCAGCCTCCAGACATAGGGAATCGTATGCTTCGTCTAAACATAGTTCTGTGATGTTGCGCTGGTTACGATTTTCCAAACGTGTCTCGGCCAACTTCAGCGCGTTTGTATTTTCAAGCAACGCATCCTCCATATCTTGTATCTCGCACGTTAATGCCCTAATGTCTTCTACCAATTTCGAGCGCTGCCAATTGAGCTCGTTGTAAGCCTGTTGGGTTTGAAAAATACGATTACGTATATAGAATTCCGTATACTGGTCCTGGCCTTTCAAAATGCTGAGAGCCTTGTTGCGACACACGTTAAGTGATTCCCGTATGCCGACTGTTTCTTCTACTTCATTATCTACCATTTGCTTTAAATTTTTAGTAGACTCCAGCCAATTCTCATAGGAACGGGACCTGTAAGGAGCACAATTAGACATCGCATCGAATCGAACGGAAGCCACACTTACTCTTTGGGGTCCCGCAAGGCGTCCAGCTTGAAGGAAATAGCGTTCGACTTGCAAGTCAGAGACCGCTGTGCTGTGTCAATTTCAACGGTTTCCATTTTATTCTTCAGCTCTTGCTCCACCTTGAAGCGCACCACGTCAAGACGCGCCAGCTTTTCCCATGCGGTTTGGATGAGCCTTGCCAGCAACTGATGATTGTTCTCTAATATAAAAAATTGATTATGTAGCTCTGTGCTGACGGAATCGGCTGATAGCTCTGATTCGTTGCGATCATCGCGGATGAACAACAACTCTCTGATGACAGCTACAGGACCAGCCTGCCACTCCAAGTCTGTCTCTGCTGCCGCCCTTTCCTTTACCAGCAGATCGACTTCCTTCACCATGCGATCAAACGATTTGGTGATTAACTCATGCCATGTCTTAATCTCAAAAATGCTGCGCGAAAACAAATGTTATCTTAGCACCTGGCAGCGGCAGGTCAAGTGCGTCGATTAGCTTACCGTAAATCCAATGCATGATTCGATGCGTAGTTGGCCCATTCGCCCTCAATACGCGACTCATTGCGTAGCACCCTGGATAAATTACGGTCGGCAAAGGCATCAGCACGTCGGGCATTTGCAACATTTCGGAGACGATCAAGCCGACTTTGCCAATCGAACACCGAGACGTGCTGCATCGGTTTTTCCATGGTTGATATAAAATGAAAAGCCATTTTAACGTTTTTTTTTTTTTTTTTTTTATGTATGTGTATAATGAACTTAATTGAAGTGTTAACGTTTTATGTGTGAATTGTTCCCATTTCTAAGCGGTGTAGTATAGATTCATGAATGGGCCTACTTCATTTTCAAGTTGTTTTTGTTTTTGTGTAATTTTTCATTTGTATCGTTACCTTAAATTAGTACCATGATGTGCATATTTAGATTATTTCATATAAATTAAAATGTTATTTAAGAGCCATCAAATAAAACAATACGCGCCACTGAGCAAAAGTATTTTCAACTCTATCGATTCTTTTCCGATATCAATTAACATATGGTCATTATCGATACAAGCTAGTCACGTCTGCACGATAGCGATTTGAAGACGATTGTCATCACCAGCAGCTGCTGCTGTTTACAGTTTTTTGGGCAAAAAATTGCGTTAAAAAAACCTTTAAAACATAAGAGGGGTGTGCGTAGGCAACGCTTTGTGCTTCTGAGGGTCAAAGCCATTAGCAAGAGATACTAACTGCGCAGTGTGAGTTACGAGCAACGAGCTACGTTGCTGTGTTAGGCTCGAAGCTGCACTTGAAGGTGAAGGACAACAAAGGAGGCAAGGACAGGACGCTACACACAATGGCCACGTGCAATCGCAATCTAAGTGATAACTGTGACAATGTCACAACGACAACAACAACATGTCTTACCAAATGTGCTCCGCCCACTGTCAGCCTCAACGTCCTGCCCGACGAAATTCTGGAGTTCATCTTCACATATTTGCCGCCCTATGGCGATCTGGAGCACTGCAGCCTGGTCTGCAAGCGATGGCAACTCATTGTGAAAAGTGGGTGCAAGCAATAGCAATATTATCAAATATCAGAGAATACTTTAATCTTGCAGATCTTGTTCGGCGCTCACAGCTAAATTTGGAAAAAGGGTTGGCAGACTTTCGACTTCGCTGGGAGATCTATTCGCAACAAACCGCTGCTTCCTTAGAGGCAAATAATCCGCGCCAGTCAACGGGCGCACCCCTGCCCATCATAGCAGGGCGCTTTGCCCACTCGACTGTGCGATTGGGCAACTCCATGTATGTGTTTGGCGGCGGTTCGTCTTCGGACACGACCTTTAATGATCTTTGGCGATTCGACTTAACGCACATGCGCTGGTCCCGTCCCCTGGCCACGGGCACCTATCCATCGCCCAAAGGGAGTGCCTCCATGGTGGCCTGGCGGGATAAACTAGTGTTGTTTGGCGGCTGGCGTTATCCCTCATTACACCCGCCCTATCAGCCGTGGTGCCTGTTCGACGAGCTGCACTACTACGATCTGGTCAAGGACCGTTGGCTGGCCCGTAACTCGCTGCCCTGCCCGCCACCTATGGCGGGGCACTCGGCTACGGTACATGGCAATTGCATGATTGTGTTTGGTGGCTATCAAATCAAGGACGACATCAATGTGAACTCCAATGATACCTGGGTGTTGGATCTGGAAGAGCAGCGCTGGTGGCAGCCGATATTTGTTGGCAACACGCGACCTGCACCACGATACGGTCAAATCCAGGTGGAGTTGGACAAGCATCATTTGCTGATCGTTGGCGGTTGCGGCGGCGCCAACAGAGTTTACACTGATGCCTGGCTGCTGGACATGTCGCGCGACGCGTGGAGCTGGAAGCAGGTCAATGTGCGCAACAAACATTTTGGTGCCGTACACATGTGGTGCAATCCTGGCTGCAGAGTGAATAACTTTTTGGTTGTGGTGGGCCCTTCGCCCAAAATGCCTTTGGATTTCCAAATCATGAAGCAGAGTCGCGTGCCCGTTGTTGGTGGCAGCGCCTTGCGTTTCGGTGGACTGGGTCAAGCGCCAGCGCCGCCTCCGCCGCTCTATCAACAACAACACCCGCTGCAGCCGCAACTTCGTCCTGGTCAGCGTGCTCCGCTGCCAGAGCGGCGCCCTGGCGCTCTCTTGCCCGACCAGCAGCATCGTGGTAATGGACGCTTTGGTGGGGCCGCCTTGCCCCCGCAGGAACAGTACCTGGCCAACAGGCGGGCCATACTGGATCAGAACATGCAGCAGGCCCAGCAATTTATGCACAATAACAACGTCAACAACAACAACAATAACTATCAGCCGCGCTCTGGTCGCCTCAGCGACTTGCATTCACCGCCTGCAGCGGCGTCAGCCGCAGCGCCAGCTGCTGCTCCTGCTGCAGCGGATGGTGACGCGGATGCAGCGCAGCGATTACAACGTAACCTGGCTCTGCGTTGCCGCGACAACGAGCCGCTGCTGCCCAAGCGCTTTGACGAGCACTATGAGGTAGATATATTATATAATTATATAATATTCTTTACATTTCGAATTGTCTTTTCCTAGGATCCGTTTCGGATGGCCGCCTTCAATGTGCCGGGGCGTTCGCGCAGCGCTTCGCGGGATCATAGCGAGCGCATACGGCGCATGGAAGAGAAAATGAACGCCATAAGGAATTCGCGACGCAGTGCACCCGCCCACGTAGAGCCACAAAAACTGCGCGCACCTTCGCCCAAGCGTGTCCGTTGCAATGTCCAGTCGCTGTTCGTGTGCGACATCTCGAGCCTGCTGCAGCGGGATGCGAACAATGAGCCAGGCCTGGATTGGGTGGAATACAAGAATTTTGGTGTGCTGAGCGGAGCACCCGATCGATTAATACTGTCCAGCCTGATAGCGGGCAACGGAGAGCTGATCCTGTTCGGGGGCGTACACAAGGAAACGCTGACGGACATCACGCACCATGTGTCCAATTCCATACACTTCTTGAGTGTACCACGTGATATTATCTAAGCGCTGGCACGAGCCATCCCACACACACACACTATAAAATTGAATATAGCATATTTAACTATATATATATATATATATATAAATATATATATATATACATTTATGTATGTATGATCCTAAGCTATTGCTATCCTTGAAATCTGCGTACAACTTCTGGCTTAACTGTATCCTGCAAACCCCTTAAATTCGTTGGCTGCGTTTAGGCATTAAATTTGAGTTAACATGTAATATATTTTATAGTTAATGCGCATAATTAAACAGGACGAACGTCATATATGTATGTTTATGTCTATGTATGTATATAGAGTCCACTTCTGCTCTCATCTATTTGAGGCATGTGTTTTTAAGACCAGCATGTGTTACGAGAAGGGCAGAGCACGACGCAAACACTTGTAGGCCCAGGACCGGCCCCCGTGCAATGTCGATTTCATATACCAGTTTGTAAAGCCAATTGCCTAAGTCAAAAGCCATGGCAAAGCATCTGCCTCCAGCAGGTAGGAATAAAACGAGTGGCAGAAATGCATGCGGCCAAGTCGAATTATGAGTGCTCTTACAAACAAATGTTTGTGACTACATATAATTAAATTACTAATTAATAGATAAATATATAATAAAATGACAAAAATACAGATATATATAAACGTATATGTATATAGCAGTAATACATATTTAATTACAACTTTAATTCATAATTTATGTGAATATTTTAAACTTGCCTCGGATATATTCTTCAGAGCGTAATTAAATGAGTTAAAAGATTTATATTTTTCTGCTCATTGTAATTATATTTATTACTTAACAATTCGTTATCTCTATAATCATTTTGTTTCAGCATTTGCCATCATTTCAATATACCTCAAGGATTGTAGTGTGCGTTTATATGAGTTACAGAAATAACTTTGGCTGCCGAAGAGGCTATGAAGGGTTCAAGGCTGCGCCTCGGCAACGCCAATCATTGGCAACGCAAAAAGGTTTAATTTGTAATCTTAACTGGATGTTGGATGAACACACAAACACACGCACTTCTCCCATGCTTAATAAAGATTACAATAGAGAGCTAGAGAGGCAGAGAGAGATGCGAACGAGCCCCCAAGCAGTATTCAATAGAGCGAGACAGGGAGACAAGAGAGAGAGAGAGCGGCTCGATGCTCAAGCAGTGTTGCCGAAACTTTTTCAGCAAAAGTAGCAAAACCGAAGGCTGAAAGTAGCTAGAAGTAGCCAACTTTCTTCTAAAATAGCTGAAAAAGTAGCAAAAAAGAAAACAGTGCTGTTTTTTCATAAAAAGTCAACTTTATTAATTTAATTCTGATAATATCTCATCTATGACCACCAGCTCGTCATTTTCACCATTGTCGCTTTTATAATTTGCCTTTTTAAGGTAGTTGGGTGGAACGCTATACTCATAGCAACATTTGCCATATCGGCGTAATCCATATGTTTTGTGGACATACAATCTTAATGAAACTTTCAAAACGTGATCATATGGCTAAAATGTGTGTACATTCCAAAGCACAAGTCTCTAGTACTTGAAATGCGTTTTTTACAAAATGATGGCGTCAATGGGTCAGGGTATAAAAACTGATAAGAAAAGAATTTTGCATAGCATATTAGAAAGCTTACCTATTCTTCAGTTGTAGTATTAATTCTACACAAAGCTCAGTACATTTAAATCATTTACATTTAAAAAGTATCGAAGCGAATTTTGTTATAAGTTCGCTTGCATTTTAGCTAAATTTAATATTTGAAAATAGCCAGATTTGTAGCTAATAGCTGTTTGAAAATTTTTGTAGCAATCGGCCTTAAAAAGTAGCCAGATCTAGCTACAAAATAGCTGATTCGGCAACACTGTGCTCAAGTAGCAACGGGCTGGAATCCAAGCAGCCAAAACTACAAGCTCGCGCACAAATTATTTCCAGAGAGAGAAACAGTTCTGCTTGCCAATCGATGGAGATGGAGAGCGTGAGAGAGTCGCATAACAGAACATTGGAAGGCATGCAGTAGAAGCCAGAGCGAGACCAAGAACGTGAGCAAATAAAGAGAGCTCCGTTCCAGAGAGCGTCAAGCAATAGAGTTTCGTTTGCACTTGATCAGTTGAAGGTGGCGCTTTGCGCTGAACGGTTCGTACCTCCACCAGAGCTCTCACAGCACTGCTTGTAATAGCAGATGGCAAAGCGGTCAAGTTCAGCTCCTTTTCAGAACAAAATAATTAGGTTTTAGGTCGTGCGAACTTCAATGAAATTTGCCATTTTTGTCGTTTCACTTGTATTGCAAAAAATAAAATAAAAGTGTTCAGTGTGCCTAATTAAATTATAAATACTCAAGAACTTGTCAAAGTGCCAAATATTAGGCGCACAGAAAAGGTGTGCTTTTTAGTGTTCACCGAGAATTATCAACAAAATAAATATATAATTCAAAGGTCGCGAGAAAAATCATAAAAATAAATATTATAATAGGCAAAGGAAAAATAATAACAACAAAAGTGCTTATGTAAAGCTCTCAGCTGCGAATTACGACCCACGAATCACGAATCGCGATCGTAAATCGATTCTCCGAGAGATTTAAATAAAAACAATTCGCGCACTAGCTATCATAAATCGGTGAATTATTTATACAAGAAAAATCAAAGGTAAACATTGCAATTCCTCGAATGGAGCGACAATCGATCACTTTAATAAAATCCACGTACGGAATATATGCTGTCCATATATTACTGCAATACCCTATCCACACACATCCCATCAGTTCTTTTGACAGTTTCGTAAACATACACATAAACATAACTATATAAACAAAAAATTTAAAGTTCTATACATATTATGGCATATTCAAATACAATATAATATTAAATTGATATATAATAGTATTTTGTAAAGTGCACTGTTTTCGTATCGACATACGTCTGGCTTTGAGATCTATGTAAACACTTTAAACCGGTTATTTGTTGCCCATGCGCAAAATATAAATAATGAGAATCACACACTATCCCAGCAAACTCACACATATAAATTAACGCACGAGCAATGGGCTCGACATGCCGGCTTTATATTGATAGAACGCAAATATATTAGTATATATAGTATATACAGTATATACATACATCTTTATATATTTATATCTATATGTTTGTCGTTGATAAACAAAGTATATATGTATAGTATAGACAGATGTATGCTTTGACTGGCTCATAGAGTCTCTATAGGAATTTCGCCAGCGCTTACGTCATGAATTTTGAGTAGCAATAAAAATTGATTTATTTCCAAGTGGCAATTCTTATCAAGAGAAACGGATTAGGTTTGTGGGCAATGCATATATATACCTATATTCAGAACATTACCTGGAAACAAAATGAATTGTTGGCTATGTGAACGAAATTAAAAAGTAGAAAAACTATATTTTAAAAAGAATTTCTCTATGCTACTTGATTAAAATAATTCAAGATAATGTGAAAATTTGTTCATGGAACGATAAAAGCAGATATCTTATCATTTATATTCAATAACTGGGAGTATCAAAAGATTTAAAGATAACATTTATAATCTTCCGGAAGATTTCAATTATTTTGGGCGTGATAGTTCATTTAAAGATCTTTAGATAATATGGACACGAATTTCATATAAGTAAGCATAAGTAAGCTAGTCTTGTGAAGTTGAATAACAAAATAAACAAAGGATAACATTATATTATTAGTTATTTTACTATATCTAGCAACCATTGGGCCATAATATAACAAATATATAACAATAAATAGGGATTATTTAATAAATGAGATTAGAGCATTATATGGTATATGGATATATATGGATATGGTAATCCACAGCTCAGCTTAGTGAACGATGAACAGATTTTTTTTTTATGATTGTTAAGAAAATAACTCATAAAAGAAAGAGGAAATGCATAACAATATTTTATGAACCCTATTAAATATGCCAGAAAGGAGATATATTAACATATTATTTTATTATGTACATATATATCAGTAAGTTATACCGTTACCGAAATTTAATCTAATATGCTATGCTGGTTAATAGACGGGAGATATGGGTTGTAATTAAGTAATATTATTTAGTAATTTCTAATATATTATTGATTGCAGCTTAATATACCTCACATGATAATAAAGATCCCATGATTATATTCAAAAATAGGTTATCTAGGTTGTTATCTTTTGAATTATTTAAAATTTGCGAAACTATACATAGCTAGCTAGATATCTCATGAATAATTTTTAATTTCTTCAGGCACGTGTCGGCTATGCCTGATTTGCGTTGCAAACTAAGGGAAAGGTGAAGCTCAAGATCGATAGTGATTGATGATGTATTGGGATAGAATAGAACCGGCTTATGGGTCTTACTGAAACGCAATTATTTAAATATATTTACATACATACATGCCTTCTGCTTACAGATGAGCGCCGGCGCAGCTTTGGAACTGGCCGTGGCGCAGCGCAAGGAGCAGGCGACCGTGGGCAGTCTGTTGGGCAGGCGATATGCAGAGCTGCTGCATGCCGAGAAGCACACGGACTGTGTGTTCCATGTGTGCGAGCAGCAGCTGAAAGGACACAAGCTGATACTCAGCGCCGCCAGTCCGGTCTTCGAGGCCATGTTCTATGGGCCGCTGCAGGAGCTGGAACCCGAGATCGAGATACATGACATCAGTGCGCCAATCTTCAAAGTTCTGCTGGAGTACATCTACACAGGCAGCGTGGACTATGAGTGCATGCAGCTGGAGGCGACCATCGAGTTGTACTATGCCGCCGAGAAATATCTGCTGGATCAGCTCATAGCCGATGCTCTGCTCGCTATAACGCGCAAACTGCGCTTCTCCAACGTCCTGCCGGCGCTGGAGCTGAGCGTCTGCATGGGACTGGACAGTTTGTTGGACGTCTGCATGTCGTTCTTCATGCGCTGCTGTGTGAACAACGATCAGTACATGAGCTATCTGAAGGAGCACTATGTGCACGTGTCCAAGGAGTGCGTCAAGAGCATCATTGCTGCATGCAAGGAACCGCACAAGTTGCTGCTCTGGTATGTCTATGAGTGGACGCAGCAGGAGTGCGATGATGCAGGGCTCGGAGATGCCGCCAACTGGCAGCAGGTCTCGGGAGCTGCGGATCTAGCCGACAGTGCAGCACCTACGCCACCTGCCACGCTCGTCGAGCGCTGCTACTACAAGGCCTGCCGCCCATTCACCGTTGATGCCGAGTCGCATGTCTGGCGGCTGGGCTTGAAGTGCTCTAGATTCATCTCTGTGCTGGGGTTGGTGCTCAACAGCCGGCTGGCACCCAATCTCACCTGCCATGTGGGCTATGTGCCGCAAGAGTATCGCGAATCTCTGCGCATTGATCTGTATCCCGATGGCGGCGACCAGCCCGTGTGGACTCACATCATCCAGAATCAAACAACGAAATACAATTGTGATTTGCATCTGAGCTGGAGTCGCGACGAGGCCTGCGTCCTGACACCGGAGGTGCATTACGTGCTGCAATTACGCTGGGAGAGCAGCGCCTACGGTGCCTGAGTATCCTTGCAGCCTGCAATCCTGCCTGGTGGATGGGATTCACTTCATCGACGGGGACAGCTTCAGCGGCTGCCTGCTAAAGGGACTGCGCTATGTGAATCTAGTTTAGTTACAGTCGGTTTAGATCATTTAATTCGTAAATATTGTGTATTTATTGCCTTTAAGTTAATGTACGAGCGATTGAGTTCAATAAACTGTGAAAAAAAAAAAGAAAAAATACAATACAAAAGATATTCATATCAAACAGACTCGAAGCCGGTTTCTCACCTGCTAGCTGACGATTGTAAAACACGCACACAATCATCCAAAAATATAACGATACGAAATGTTACAGGAAGCTGCCAAGCACAACATATGATTGCCATATGTTTATGTAAATTAATTAAAATTACTTTTTATCACCAACCACACATGTGTTGTACGGTTATGATTGTATTTAAATGTAACATTCGAAGTTTGCCATTCACTGTAAATGTCTGTAAAACAACTGTTATCAGGCAAGTTTATATGTAATAGAGATGTATGTCCCTCATAAATTTATAAAAGAAAAAAAAAGTAATTTAGCTGGGAAAAAATGTAACTTAATACGTTTTTATTTATAATATTATTTGATTAAATAAAATCTATACAGCAGACCTATCGATTGAATTGTCGGAAGACCGAATGCTTCACATTTTTGTTCACTGGGTAGTAAAGCATCAGAAATATCGCTATTCACACAAATTGAAAAACTATCGATTATTTGTATTGCTCCGCACTAGCATTGTACCGCTTTTAGTGGAGAATAAAAGTAAACAAAATGACAATTTTGTATAAAGTTGAGAGTCGGCGTGAGTTTGGCAATGCCAAAGAGGGTAACGTCTTCCCACACAAGGTGGTGCTGTGCGCCGTCTCCTCACGCAACATAATTGCATTCAGCGCCCTGCAGAACCTCTCCAGCCACGTCTATGTCTGTGACATTGTGACGCCCTGGCAGTACTACAAAGTGTGCAATTCGAAGTCATTAATCAATGTGCTGGAGTGGAATGCGAACGGCGAGCAGCTGCTGCTGGGCTACATTGGCGGCCGTGTGGAGATCTGGCAGCCCAAGGAGCAGTCACTGAACGTCTGGCAACTGCAGTTCCATGCCAACATTCCGAGCGAGGACATCATTCAGGCAAAGTTCTTCCACAATGGCAAAGGCGTCGTATTCAATACCCAGAAAAAAGATCACACCTACTACGGGGAGAAATTCGAGAGGCTTGAACAGCGGCCCACGCTAACCGGCTTTGGCGGCGTTGCTACCGAAGGCTGCATACTGCTCACGTCCTCCGGCTTGCTAGCCGCCTTCACGCTGCCCCAGCTCCAAAAGCTGGCCATCAACAACACCAGCAACAGCGGCGGCCAGGCTCAGGAGCCGACGCCACTTAGCAATGCGAGCAGCGAGCAGGTAGAGTTATTTCCTGTGTCCCATAGCATTGGCATCTCGCGCAGCTACATCGAGCACTGCAGCATTGTGGCCAGCGCCAGCGGAGCCCTAAACATTGCCTACAGCACAGGCTGGCAGCAGCAACAGCAGCAGCAGCTGGTCTACTGTTACAAAGTAAGGATTGTGACATTTATGTGTAGCTTTTAATATTTAGTAACCATTACCATATGTCCAGGTCTCGCTGCAGCTGGAGGGCGAGCGCATCGTCATCAAATCTGAGTCGCTGGCCAGCATTTTCTTGAACACATTGCCGTCGGCCACGCTGGAGAGCAAGCGCATTGCGCAGCTGCTGTGGACACGTGTGGGCAACGAGGACGTCATCTACGTGGTCTTCAACGTGGGTGACAGCGCCAGCCTGCTGGAGCAATGGACTCTGACACGGCGCCATCAGAGTGTGCACGCCCTGCTGCAGCAGTCGGCGACTGGGCCGGCCGCCGGCAGCAAGCCCGTGGACTACGTGCCTAGTGAGAGCTGGGAGCAGGTGGCCAAGTTGCAGCTGAGCGCCCAAATCTCGCAGCTGTGCAGCAGCCGGCTAATCGCCGCGGATTGTGAGCAGCTGTTTGCCATATTGCAGGATAACAGCGTGCAGGTCCTGGAGCCGGGCACACTGAAGCAGCTGAATCACACGCAATTCGAGCACGATGCGGAGACGCGATTCGTTTGCGGCGACTTGACGCCCACCAGCCAAATGCTCATCATCTTCGACAGCCACGCCCAGCTGCACGCCATGCAAACACCCATGCTGAAGCAGCATACGAACACCATGCAGCTGCTGTTGCTGCTGCTCGAGTATTGCATTGTGACGGGCGTGGACGCCAGCGACGTGCTGCTGCTCAATCTGGGCAATCTGGAGGCGCTCGTGGACAAGCTGACGGACAACTTTACGCGTCAGCCGTCGTACGTGCGTCAATTTTACTATGCGAACTTCCTGGCTCTGAAAAGCAATCTGTGCCGGGCCCAACAGCAGGAGTTCGATAATCTCATCATTTTGCACGCCATCTCGAGCACGTTTAAGAGTCTGCTGCGGCCGTCGGACTTGGGCTGTCAGGACAAGGGGCCGGCGGATAATTTGGCCATGAAACTGGCGGAGTCGGTGCCGGACGTGGACACGGTGTTGCTTAATCTGGATCCTAAGGACTTTACTGTCGAGCCCATGATGCTGCAGAGTCTTCAGCAGCTCATCCAATGGGTCACAGATCTGGCGCTCAATATGCTCAATCGCCTGCCCGAGGAGGTGATGAAGAGCAAGTTGTCTGGCAAGCGTGCTAGTTACGACATCAGTCGCGACATCGTCGCCATTAGCAGTCTGCGCGAGCTGCTTGTCATGATCCGCATTTGGGGACTTCTCAATCCGCAGTGTCTGCCCGTGTATACCAAGACAATGGACAACATCGATGTGCTGGCCATATTGTTCAGGCTGCTAACACGACTGGCCCAGAATCCTGCGGAGCCGGACGAACTGTTGCTGGACGAATGCAGTCTGCTGTCCAAGCAACTGCTCATCCCACAGCCATCCAGACACAATCCAACAACGCTGCTCAGCGCCCAGGGCTATGCGGCTGTGAAATCTGGACAACTAACGTTCACCTCGCTGGTGGAGCCCGTCGGATTGCAGGAAATCGAAATGGAGCAGGTCGTCTTCGCCAATTTTATCAAGGATGGTGTCAGCAATTTGCAGTTGGGTGCTAATCCCAGTACTATAAGGAGATGCGCCCGCTGCGGATTTGTTAATAGCGCGAACAAAGTGGCCAAAACGTCTGCGTTGAAGGCGTGGTGCAACAAATGGTTACATTGCCACTGCGGTGGCTTCTGGAAGCAAATCAATTGATATTTTGTAATCGTAACTTAAGAATATTATTATTATTAAGAATTAAAACTTATTTAACGTAACATATGTGAAACATCGATTTTATATTTGAAATCTGATAGCGCGGAACTTTTGATGCTGAAAAATTATAGTCGATAGCTGTGTGGACAACATTTGGTAGTGCTATCGATAGTTGCACAGACTCACGCACACATTGAAGTACAATCGATTGCTTTGCATCCCAGTTTCTTATTAGACTATTGATAAATACAAACAAGAATTGGCTTGCAAAATAAATTTCTAATTCAATTAAGTTAATTGCAACTCAAAATGAACATAAACCTGTCAAATTTCAACATGAAGAGCCTGGTGAAAGAGGCGGGCAGCACAATATCGCGCGTGGTGCAGGTAAAAATGCTTAGGCAACCACATCTAGTTGGAGGCCTGGGCCTGGGCCTGAGCCTCGGCCTCGGCCTGTGGGGGTGTGGGTAGCGTTGGTTGGGCAATGTAAGGAAAGGAAAGTGGTGGGGGTAGGGTGGGCAGCCTTGCGCACGCGATTGACTTTTTGCGTTTACCCTTGCCCTTTTATGCAGCTTACCGAGGAGAAACTGGGCACCACCGAACGCACCGAATACGATATACACTTTCAAAATCTGGCCGAACGCGCCGATGTTACCAAATCATGGACTGAGAAAATAGTGCGCGACACCGAATCGGTGCTCATACCGAATCCACAGAATCGGGTCGAGGACTATATTTTCGAAAAGATTGAGAAAACGAAGCCGAAGCGCCTAAGCAATCTCGAGCACCTGGCGCTGGACATGATCGAGGCCGGCGGCGACTTTGGCCAGGACCTGCCCTACGGCCAGGCGCTCATCAAAGTGGGCCAGGCGGAGCAGAAGCTGGGCCAGTGCGAACATGACTTCATAGCCACATCGGGCATTTGCTTCACGCAACCGTTGCGCAAGTTCCTCGAGGGCGAAATGAAGACCATTAGCAAGGAGCGCGGGCTGCTGGAGACCAAGCGGTAAGCCAGCCTTTTAGATTACAGATATACGTAATTGTAATATATAATGGTAATTTTGCAGCTTGGACCTGGATGCGTGCAAGAACCGGGTGAAGAAGGCGCGCAGCATGCTGGGCCAGCAGTCGGTGAGTAGACTCCACTGCTCCACTTGGCTAGCGGAATTGTCGCATTAAGTTGATTTATGGATTTTCGCCTCTGCTTTTACATTTGTGCTGCTTTTACTCTGTGCGGAATGTGTTGTTTGTGATTTATAGAAAGATGGCATTTCGCCAGAAGCTGCCTTGGAACAGGTATCGCCCACTGAGGCGCCTCCCTTAAGCTAAATTTTTATTATATCTCTTGGTTTCATTTGAGACTTATCTATTATATGTTCTAATATATATAAATTTCTTCTTGCGCAGGCGGAGCGCGATCTGCGCGTGGCTCAGGCCGAGTTCGACAGGCAGGCGGAGATCACCAAGCTGTTGCTGGACGGGATTAGCACCTCGCAGGCGTCGCACTTGCGTCATCTGCACGCCTTCGTGCAGACGCAGGTGCGATACTACAAGCAATGCGGCGACGTTATGGACCAGCTGCAGCGCGAATTGGCCAAGTAAGTGGAGAGCAGCCAGAGCAGCTGTAGAAGCTGGTCACGGATTAGTTAATTATTTGTACTTGCTATTTGTTTGCATAGCTGATTATCTGATACCAGAGTACCTGTGTACCTGTTTGTAGGCGGCACTTTACCAAAACAAAAATGTATCTCTTGCACTTTGGCATTCTATATCTATGTCTGTCTGTGGTGTTTGCTTTTTGTTGTTGTTGACCTTTCGGTATTTTTGTTGTTGTTTTGTGGTCTTACAGAATGCAGCCAGCGAAGCCTCGCCTGCGCATCAATAGCGAAGATGTGGACGGGCCTCCCAGCATTGCTTCGGCGCATTCATGTGATTCCAGTGAAGCCAGTTCCATTGCACTGGCCAAGGCCATAGATAGCGATTACGATTTTGATAATGGGCAGGATATTGATATTGATATTGAGTCGGGCTTTAAGAGCATTGACATTGGTCCGGTCAAGGCGCTCACCCATCTGCTGGAAGACTTTGAGATAGAGTTCGATACGAGCGCCATAAGCACAGTTTAATTTAATTTCATTCATCTGAAATGATAAACAAGTCTTGAATCAAAATTTTGGAAACGGGTTAACACACATATACGTATACGCATACGCATATATATACATATGTATAATATTAGGCTAAACTTTTTGTATTGGTTGTTCTATTGAAACGAGACTTATCTAGTCGTCCATTTGTAGTCTCCTTGTTGCTTCTGTTTCTGTTGCGATTGCGGTTGCGGTTGCTGTTAAGCGGTTTCAATTGTAGCTCCACCTATCTACCTATCCAAAACTTCCAACATCAACTTCATTCACACTCACGCCATTAAACTCTACTCTCTGCCTCTGCGTCTTCCATCAGCTTGGGAGGCCCGACGCCCTACACACCGATCGATCTACTGGATGCCACCAAGTCCAGTGCCGCCGGCGGCATGGGCGTTGGAGCACGCAATCCTGGCAATAACAGTCAGCAAAAAGCTAATCAGTCCATGCAATTGAACGTGAGCACCGATCAAATGCAGCGTGCACGTGTCCTGTGTTCATACGATGCCAAGGATCACACCGAATTGAATCTGAGCGCCAACGAGGTGAGCAGCCCATTATTTATATTGTATGCCAGATCTTGTCCAGCTTCATTGATATTTGTTCTTCACTCTCGCAGGTCATCTTTGTTACCGAATGCTCGCCGGTCAATGAGGATTACATGTACGGTAAGCAGGGTCTGATGAAGGGCTTGGTCCCGCGCGCCTTTGTCGAAATGCTCGATGAGGAACAGAAGGACGACTACTAATTGGCCCATTGATGAGGAATGAAAGAAAAGCGAAAAGACAAACAAAATCTATTCAAAGCAAAATTAACTCATTAATACTCATTTAGAGCAAAGGCAATTGCAATGGGACAATTACATACATAGTTCATACATATGCAAGAGAGTACAATAATTTATCAGAATATACACATATATACAAACATATTATAGTAGAGAGAGCAATGCGCCCTAGCTTAACGTCCGTGTCGATTGGATACGTGTGCCTCGTGTTAGCCACATAAAATGCATTCCGCAGCGCACCAGCATTTAGATACCTTTACGTAGCTAGTTGCCCCATCCCGATCCGCCCATCCCCATCCTGCTCCTTGCTCAGCTTTTAATCAAATATTTCAATGTCTATATACATACATATATATACACACATATATGTATATATATATATTTATTAATACCAATTTGGCTAACAAAATATCTCTTAAATAATGCAACTCAATTGTTTTTACAAAATTCCTAAAATCTCAATTAATAACATCAAGAATATTTGTTACTTATTAAATACGTATATATCTTATAAAGTGCGAAAAGGAACATGTTAAAGAAAATTTCCAAACATTTATTATTGTTGCTAAACACGAAGCCTTTAACTACTATTATTAATTAAGCTTTTCAATCTCACATTGAACAAAGTATTATATATTTTATGTTATTTTGATAGTTGATTATTCGTTAGTTACTATATTTGAAGTGTGCTTAAAACACATCTATATATATATATCTATATATAAATATCAATATATCTCTATTTATGGAATTGTTAATACATCTATATATTCGAAATCAAATTATTTATCTTAGGTTAAATACACATTTATCTGAATCTCTTATCTGTTGATTTTTCGGTGCAATTATCCCCTTGCAAGTCAATTAAATGTTTAAGAACTACCCGAAACACCAAGCTAAGCCAAGCCAAGCCACTTTGGTGCTTAATCAAAATAACAAAAGGAGAAACTATTTAATAAACGTACAATACAATTAAAACTAAATGAAAATGCCAATGCGAATGTTAAAGAAAAACAAAAACAACGATTTTTAGGTTTTCAATGCGTTTAGAAAATGGGATTTTAGCAATTACAAAGCACACCATAAACTATGCAAAAAAAAAAAAATGTATTTAACTAAATTTAAATAATTATTAACTGAAAATGGAAAAAAATAAAAAGAAAATGTAACAAACAGTTGTTTTAATGGCACATAACCATTTCTCTATTTAGTTATATAGTCAGCCGAATTCATATTTTGGCAAATACAAGTCGTATTTTATTTTGGCAAATAAAAATGTGAACGAATTCACAAATAACAGCACCTCGTATATCTGCAAAGAAATCGAGAGAAAGCATTATATCATGAGCTATTTCCAATCAAATATTCATTCGCTTACTAATCCCAGTAATCTTCCACGTCTGATATATCCATTTCATCGATATCGTAACCAACATCGAACCCATCGTAGTCATCATAATCATCTTCATCATTATCGAACTCTTCGTAGTACTCAAAGTCATTATCGGAGACTATATCATAGATGTCGTCCGATCTGAAGTACACATCGTCATCAAAGACCAACAGTTCTGACAGGTCAAAGAAGCAGAAATCTGCGGTTTTGGCCGGATTGTACGAGACCTCGAGGATGTCCTTCGCAGTCTGCTGTACGCCATCCAGGAACGGCTCGTCCATTTTGCAGCCGTACAAGCCGATTTTGATGGGCAACGGACGTTCAGTTTCCTTCTGTCGTATTTGCAAGCGCACCTTAAATATTATATCAGATATGAGCTTTTCAGAGAGCTGTGGGCAATTCTCCAGATGCAAGACGCGCAACTTGGGGCAGGAGAGTATCAGCAGGAGCACAGCATGATCGGTTATATTAACGCAATACTTCAGATTGATCTCCTCCAACTGCTGCAGGGCGCAAAAAGCCTCCATTTCGCGAGGTCCGATAGCATCATTTGCTGGTATAATGAGCGTACGCAATGCGACTAGCTTGCTCAACTGTGCCAGCATCGTGGCATTCAAACAGTTCTGACCACGCCCCTCAAAGTGCTCTAGTTGCTTCGCTTTGTGCTCCACGAGCCATGTCAACAGCTCCGGACGCAGAGTGCAGTCGTCCTGGTGGCTGTACACAATCACCTTCTTGAGGCGTGGCAGCTTGGCAATGTGCTCGTACTGGTTGCCCATACCAAACCCGAAACCGGTGCTGACTGTCATCGTTTCCAGCGTGTGGTAGCGCTGACTCTCGACCAACTGCTTGAAAGCCGGGCCAATCGAATAAATGCCCTTAATGTGTAGCTCCTTCAGATGCTTCAAGGACTTCAAAGCCCTGCTCAACATCTTCACCTGCAAGCTTGTGCAGCTGGTCAAAGTGAGAGATTCAATGGTGGTTGGCAAGCGATTCATATTCTGACCAGTCAATTTCTCATTGTTGGACAGATCCAGATTCTTGAGCATTGGCAAATGCTTCAGCGCGAGCAGCGTCTCATTTCTTATATCGCAACCGCGTAATTGTAGAGTCTGTAGCTTATTTAGCTTGGCGAACATCTTCTCCATGATGTTCAGACTCAACTTGTTGACCGAGATTTTTAAGGTAGTCAAGTTGATGCAGTTGTTGCCCAGAAATTCGGCCAGACGCTTGAGATGACGCTGCGGTATAACACCATCGATGTCCTTAACATGGCGGCCGGACAACAAGAAAAAGTCACGAACATCCCACATGGTCAAATCAGAGAACTCCTCAAATTTCATAGACTTGTCCAGTGCTGGTGCTGCCTGCTTATATATCTCCCGGAAGCGAGTACAGGTGCGTGCAAAATGAATGCGATCGCTCAGCGGCAACATGCGGAATATGTGATCCAAGCAATGATCATTCAGCTTCATTATAGCAGCCGCCGGCTCATCATCGCCTGCCAATGGAATGTCATAGGCGTCCGGCTGATGCCAGCTATCGCTGGGCACCACCAAAAGTCGAACGTTCTTCACATAGTGAACCTTGCGACGCAAGGTCCTGAAATATCAGGCAGACATCCATTTTGATATAAAATGTTGTTAATGAATGACCATATGTGGATACTCACTTGGCAGCACTGCGTGCATCGTCAAAGAGAACAAAAGCGCTTTTGTTTTTGAGCTTCTCAGCGGCCGCTTTGGAGCCGGAAGCACTGGCTGAGTGGGTGACCAGCTCCAAGTGCTTCACGGCTCCGAAAGTGGTGAAATAATCTCTCAAGTTTTTGGACGATATCTTAACATTGATATAAAACCATACATTGATATATGGGCCAATAATAACAATAAGAATTGTTTTTACTACTTACTGCTGCAGCTACACTGATGATATAAAGCTTTTTCACCAGAATGTGATCCTCGGTGTAGGCTTCATCGTCCTTAAAATAATATGTTTTCTGCATTGCATGTGGAAAATTGAAACTTTTACGAGCAATGCGTGGTCCACATATATTGAAGAAATTGTCAAGCTCGTTCATCTAGTTGACGTTCTAAGCTGTACGTCGATGACTCAATTACTGCTACTATTAGAATTGAAACAATTTTCCTCTTTCAGAAATATGCGCCTCAACTTTTTCTTGTCCGTCGTGCAGTTTAAGGAAATCGTTGACAATTCGTCTGTTGCATCGAGTGGAGCGATACTCTGGTAAGCGGTTACTTGATATCGCACATCTCCAGCAAGCTATCGAAACAGATTGTTATCGGTAGCTGGTGCTAGAAAACGTATTTTTCCAATGATTAGTGTTTCCACCTATCAACTATCGAATGTATCGCCATGTATTTTCAAAAAATTAATTTATGCTAAATTCAAATCCATTTGAAATAAAACATTGCATACTGTTTTATTTATTTTTCTCCTTCGCACTTTAATTTTGTAAATTGTAACGAGTTTTTGTTTCTAGCAAAGCTTACAAAAGTTTTTGCATATTCGATTTTAGCTGTGTTCCTTGTAGAAAACTTAATACATTAAATTGACAAAATTGACTACTTTTCCTTATATACAGATGTTTTACTAAAAGTCTTCGATTCTTAAGCCAGAATATCAACAAATAGCATATAAAATATATTACTGTAGTAAACGCTGCCAGCAGCGTTTGAATTACAAATTTATGTACATTAATATAATACAAAAAGCCAAATAAATATGTTAAACAATTAAGTAAGTTAAGGGTGTTGTCTATTTTTGGTTGTTAGAGTTTCTCCGACTGTCACGAAAGAATCCAAGAGTGTATAATACCTGCAACGGTGGAAAACTATATTAAGTATAGGCATATTATTTTAATTCAATTAGAGAGCTTACGATTTTCGCCGGGCGAGAGTGTTATATGTATGTCCTCTCGATTGTGAATCGGCGCTATAAGAAAATAATTGCAATTAGTATAAATATAAACATGTATGAAGGGGAAGTGCAGCAGCAACAACAACGCATTTTGTAAATATTTAAATAACTTCTTTATTTACGAAAGCTGCTTAAAATAGTAATAAACTTTGTTTGCTTAGTAATACAGACGCTAACAATAAAACAGATAATGAGGCATATGCATTTGACATAAATATTAATTAGACATAAGCTTCACGGTTTATAGATAGTATATGTTGTGGTTCAATAATGCATCATGTTACATGTTTCGTATTTAGGCTTGTCGTGTCTTTCGAATGAGCAAAAGTTTCGTTTGCTTTTATTCATATTTTAGTCCTTTTTGTATCTATAGAGGCTGCATGCGTGCCATGACTTTTGTGGGTTTGTAATTAATTTGCTTAGCTGGAAACTAATTTAAATATATATGCTATCACAGTTTCAAAGTTGCCAACATGCAGACAACGCGTGCAAGCCATGCATGTTAAGAGAACTTTGCATTGACACAGAGAACATAGCTTGACAATTAGTGCACTTATAAATGATATATAAGCAGGCAAGCCAGCGAGCACTCAAATGATCAAAAACGAGCAATCTGTCACGTGTGCAAAGCGTATGGCTGCTGGCGATTGGCATCGGCCTCTGGCTGCATTTGCTGTTGTGGGCGTGGCCGGGGCTGTGCGCTCTCATCAGCATTAGGCACAATGCGTATCATACCCGGCTGGATCCTAACGTTTTCACAGGCTTCGCATATATTCAGTTGCGGATGATTGCGGAATGTACACAAGTTGCAGGCCCACATATCCAGTGGCTCCTCGCCTTCGTCCACCTCCGATTCGGATAGAGACTCCTCCTCCTCCTCTTGATTGGCACGTGGCTGGGCAACGGTTCTTGCAGGTGATGATAGGGGTGGAGCTGCTGACGCCGCCGCAGCTGCGGCCGCGGCAGCTGCCCGCTGCTGCCGCAGAAATTGCTGAAACTGATAGTATTGCGCATAGGTGGGTGGCGGCTCCATCTCCAGTTGCAGCTGCTGCTGCTGCTGCGGCGTCAAGCACGCCGAGCTGGGCGCACTGCTGTGGTGCTGCACGAAATCTTGATGCGAGTGTGTCTGCGCCGCGGGCACCGAGTGAAGCCGCAGCGAATTTGGCGGCACCTGAGTCCGAGCGGCGCCAGGAGGGTGTCCTGGAAGTGGCGGATAATGTTGCTGTGGGCCTGGTGGCGCCGATTGTTGACGATTCATGGAATTTGGCGCGGCTGCATTGCCATTCAGCTGAGGATCTGGAAGGAAAGCAGTCGTTAATTAAAGTCAACTCAAATTGATAACTGACAATTTGTGAATCATACCATTGAGTAGCCGCTGACAGTCCTCAGTGAGTTTCTTGATATCTCTATCCAGTCTTTCAGATTCGCCCTCTGGCACCGGCTCGGTCAAAATGTTTATCTCCTGCTCCAGCATAAGCAGGCGCTTCTTATTCTCACGCAGCGCGTTGGCCAGCTTGTCGCGTCGCTGCTTCTGGCGCTCAATGATCTTGGCATGCGCTGCAAACAAAAAGAACACATATTGATCAGCAAGTTGACTTAATTAAAATTATTATTCATATTCATTTATGTAGAATTATGTACATAAACATATCGATCAATCAGTTAATTAAATATATATCAACACATATATATTTAATATTTATTTATACACATTTGTATATCTATACACATAGCAAGTATATTTACGGCTCTATAGCTCACATTTTATTACTCTGTTTGTTGCTAAAAATAAAGGCGCGCATTTTTGCTCGCTCGCTAAAAGTTCATAAACAAATTTAAATTTAGTCAAAATGCGCAAACACACGAGAAATCAATCTAATAATAATTTATTTTTGACTGAAAATAAGGCAGCGCAACGCCCGATTTGAAATGATTTTTGAATTTGATTTTAACAAACTAACAAAAAGAACAAAACGAAGAAGAAAACAGTTTAAATAAAATTAAATAAAAGCAGACACATATTTTTAGATTTTGATAGATTTCTAGCGGAAATAGCAAACAGGGCAATAGGCCAAAGGAGGATCAAGCTGACATACAGAACATATATTTAGAGAAAGCAAATGAAAATGTTGTAGTACGTCATTTGCTTGTGTTCTGCAGACATTTTAATTGATAAATTAATTCGTTAATGGACGAGAAGAATTCCACGATATGTCCCAAAAGTAAAAGTGTGAAGAATGCTATTTTAATTTGATTGACTGTCGCTTTTTAAATAGTTTGGCTAAAAGCAAATGCGCTAAGTGCTTTTCATACAAACATATTTGTATATACAATATATATCTGAGAACTTCGATAACTTAAAATATTTTAATCGAAGCAAGATCATTTTCAATATATTAACATTGTGAAAAGGCCTTTTGCCCATGCTGCGTATGCTTAATGTGTCAAGTGGAGCACTATTTGCGAACCAATTAGAATTCGGACGAATACGAATTCCGATTCGGACTAAGTTGTTGCTATCGCGACGTTTTCTTCGCATTTTCGCCGTGAACTTGAACGAGTCGTAGCAACAACAAATGAAAGAACAGAAATAAAAGAAAACAAAATGAGAAAGCAGGAGAGAAAGAATGGAAGAGATAGATAGAAAGAGAGAGAGATAGACAGAGAGAGAGAGAGAGAGCGTAAGCGTTGTATAAATATAATGTTAAGAAACGCGGACGGTGAGACTGAGCGGAAGACCGGCAGATGCGCAGCTGGTGGAAACGAAACGAAATGGATTGAAACAGAATGAAACAGAATGGAAAAAGTACAGACAAGAGACATTTCTACAGCAAATAATATGTCGGACTCAATCTATATATATACATATAAGTATATATATTAAACGAAATCGAAACGTGGGCGTTACATTTTATATATTATTGTCTCTATATATATAATATACCTAGGTAAATTGCTTATATAGGTAAGCTATCTGCATTTTCGAGAAGGTTGGACAATCGAAAAAAAAAACGCATAACGATAATTGAAAGATTTTCTGGATTATTGAGATTTATATTCGATCTGCCTGGCAGTTAAGCTAGCTAGAATTATTTATATGTCGAGAATGAAATTAAAAAATATTATATAAAATTAGCACATTATTTTAGAGAATTTCAAATGAATGACCAATTTTTGAAACAAATTTATTGGGCATCAATATAGTCGAATAATTGTACGAAAATACAAATTGATAGGCCTATTTTACGTAGAAAGTAAAGTTACATTCATATATCGCGCGCTTGATGGCAGTTGGAATAGCATTATACAATATTATATTCTTACTTATAATAATAGACCTCTTCTGAAACTTGAACCCAATATTTATATATCCATGATAGATTTCTGCACTGTGTGAGATCTGAGAAGACGTAGAAGAAATCTGGTAAATATCGATTTAAGTGATTACATAGATTTATTTATCTATAATGACTAGAAGATTAAAATGCTTCAAAAACCTGTTGTTAAAGTTAAAAAAAGGAGATACGTCGGTATATAAAAGGAACGAACTAAACACATGGATTCCATAATATTTTTCTTCTAGATATACCCTTGTCTAGTAAAGCCTAAAACCGATAAATATCGATTTTTGTTATTTAATTTGTAAGCATACATGATTTCAAAAGTTTAAATTACTCCAAACTCATTAAATACAATACAGTCTGAATCGTGTATGAGCATATAACGATAAATGTATCTATATAGGTGTGATTAAGCTAATATATATTCGATTCCCTAATGTAAATATTAGTTAAAGAGTTTCATATTTAACAGCATTGTTTGCAACATTTGGGGCGTAATTCAATTTGTTATCAATTGTAAACAGAATGGTCTGATAAGGTCTGGTGCGATTGGACCTATAATACGGGGAAAAAATCCCCTATAAAGGAAAACAGGGCCATGAAACCAAAATTACGTCGCAGATAGCGAATGCGATTCTAGACATGCGAAACATGTGGAGGTCCAAATATTACTTATCTGAGTTTCTTGTGGCTATTTGCTGATCATGTTTAGTAACTAACTAGACTAAAAAGTAATAAGTAATGAAATAATTCGTGACTAACATAAATTCTAAAATTTTTACTTTTTTCTGGAACTAGCCTAATTGTTGTTATATTTGAAAATCAGAAATATTTTATTTGGATTGAAAGTATATCAAAGTATTGTAAAGATTTACTAATCCCCATACATCTGAGAAACATATATTTATACGTAGAAGGAAACCTCTATTTTATTCTTGAATATGCAGATTCGGACACATATATACAAATTATTATAGCTATAGAGCTCTGCTGTAGTTTTTCATTCGTAACATCAATCACTTTTCTTTGACTGATTATTGA